TTTTGAATGTTCAGGTAACTTCAGCCTTAAAAACTGTGATGGCAGGGGCCAACATGTTGGAATTGATATTGATGCTCTGAAGATGCTTGTTGAGTCTAACCCAAGGCAACACACTCGTGAAATTGCCCTGAAATTGCATATCTCTTATGAAACAATATGTAAACATCTAAGGAATATGGGGAAAACTCCATAAAGAAGGTGTTTGGATGCCTCATGAACTCTCCGATGATCATCATTTCCAACGTGTGAATGTTACTTCTTCTCTTCTGCTTAGACAGAATTGTTGCCAGTGATGAAAAATGGATTTTCTGTGAGAATATTAAATGCCAACAACAATGGCTCAGTCCTAGACAAAAACCATTTCCGACCCCAAAACCTGGACTCCATCTGCAGAAAGTGATGCTTTGCATTTGGTGGGACATCAAAGGAGTAATTCATTTCAAACTCCTCAATCTACAGTGAACTGTCAATGCAGAGACCTATAGTCAGCAACTGGAATGTTTAAATCAAGCCCTTCATCAGAAATGCCCTTCACTCGTCGATCAGAAAGGTGTTATTGTTCTCCATGACAATGCACATCCACATGTAGTATGTTTGATGCAACACAAGATTATAGAAGTTCTCCCCCACCCACCATATTCTCCAAATATGACACTATCAGATTACCAACCTTTTTGTTCGCTACAACACCATCTTAATGGGAAAACGTATGCAAATGTGGAAGGTGTTAAAGAGGAAATTGACACGATTTTTGCTTCAAAGCCAAGTGTTTTCTTCAATCAGGGCATTAACAACCTGATCGTAAGATGGAAAAGCATCATCAATAAGAATTTAGACTATCTCATTTAATAAATGTTTTGTTTTTATAAATATAAGTTCGGATTTTTTCATCTAAAAAAAGCGACATTAATTTCATGATGAACTATATTTTTAACCCTACTAGGATGCTATACGAGGATTAGTTAAGTAAATCATATAACGTTTCTTTCCAAAAATGAAACTAGTGGATGAAATTGTTTGAAATTTGACAAGAACTTTCTTAAAAGTGTGTAGTTTAATAAAAATGAAATATTTAATTTTGATTTTTTCTGCTTTCTACTAAAAATTCGTTATTTAATGTAGTTGTTTGCACTCAATCTCTGAATAGTTCACATGCAAGGTTATTTCATGTTAAGTATAAAAAATACTATTTTTTATCATACGGTTTTCACATTTCACTTGTTTAATCTTTAGAACCTTCTAAATTAATATCAAAAGTGTTTTTCAGATAAATGTTCATATATTTTACTTACCACTTCCTCTACAACATTACTAACTCTAGCTATTATCATCAACATACAGTGCAGTGAAATGTTTGAAATTAAGAAATGTAAATATATATACATACCTTTTATTTCTTTGTGGAGTAATCTTACAATATCTTCTTTGGGTCATATGAGTAATTTCACATCTTTACCTTTTCACTTACAGTTTATTTTTAATGTTTTAATTTTCTTTCACGTTCTTTATCATTGATTATTTATGTCAACACACACCTACAGGTGCCCATGGGTGATATGATGTTAACATTGGCAGAAACGGTTTTAGCTTTTGGCAAAATGTTGTGTACTTTCACTAACTTTATGAAAGCTGGTTGACCAAGGCAAAGCATGGAATAAATTTAAAAAGTCAACTATCCTCTCAATTATGAATTTTAAAACACAAGTAATACATAATTAACTAAAATATTAAAGTAAATCCCAAATGTGATTTAACTATTTATCAAGCTAATATGTATAAGGTGAGGAAAAACAGCCAAGTACTAGGGACAACGATTTTCAACAATATACTTAGGAATTGTACACCTACATAGTTAGTGTTAACATTCTTGTAGGTAAAAGTTAATTTACAGGAAAGATTCTGCAAAATCTGCTCTCTCTATTGGTTATAAGTATGGCAATCAATTTTAAAGTGTTGCTTAGCAACTCACCTTCTACTTTGCAAGTGAGTGTGGTTTATTTTGAACTCGGGAATTTTTAGAATCGTTCAGCCCAGGACAAGTTCTTGAAATGTTCTTGAATTACTTGTAAATAGCCTGTATACACTGTAATTTGAACGTCTGACTGGAAATGTCTAAATTAGACATACTGTTTCTTCTATACCAACTCTTAAAGTTGATAGTTGTAACTGCAGTGATGCCAGTACAGAATAATATGCAGTTTTAATTATTGTTTAAGAGGTTTATTTTGAAATAAATGAATAAAACTCAGAAAATATTTAACTTTGAATTATAACGTATTTGATAATAATAATAATAATAATTTAATTAAAATACATTGACGTTAAAGTGGTTTAATTAAATTTTGAATTTAACGCAATAATATGTACAGAAAGAGGTTTAAAAATAGCATTGTCTTTATAAGGTTAACAAGCTGATTAAATTTTTTAGCACCTGTAAAATATGTACTTGAGTAAAGTGATCTGTTATTATTTGATATATTGTCTTGATGTCAATTGTTGCTCACATAATAAACTTTGGGGAAGCCATACTTACCATACAACAATAGTTTGTGGATAAGGGTATATTTATCCTTGTAACTTAGTTAAACTGGCTAAAAGGTATACTTCTTTTAATGTGTTGAGAGTTATATGAAGTAAAATTTAACTGTCAGTGATTATGTATCAATAGAAAAGTTACCTGTAATCACAGAAATGTACAGACTTTTCAACTTCATACTAAAACCATCAACACCTTACAAACCATTTGTTCAGATTATATGAATGTAATTTGTTAAATTGAGTCATAAAAGTTGTTGTAACAAAGTTTATTATATAAAAGTATTTTCACTATTTTAAAAATTATCATAAAAACTAATTAAATGCCAAGACATGTGTATATTAGCCAAGCAAGAACAGCTGTATTTGGAAAGATGAATGTTGAACATGTATGCCTACAGTAACATTTGTGTCAGTGCCAGCTAGTGTTGTTTCTTTGGGTATGATTGTACATCATGATGGCGTAAGACTATAATGCAAGTATAAATGTGGTGGATTTACCAGCAAGTGTCATTCCATGTATGAAGTGTCTTGTATATATACTTAGAATACTAACTCAAATATTTCAATACTTTTGGTATAGGTGTATAAATGATCTTAGTACACACAATTTCAGAGCATTTGCAAATATAATACAGTGTGTTCTGGATCAGTGGATGTTTTTTGTTAACAGGTGCAGTTGTTTTGTAAATATTGCAGTGTGTGTTAGCAGTTGAAAGTTTCTACATTTTTGTGTATGTACGCACATTAGAAAATAGTGATTTAACAGGTATTTGATGTTTGAGAAGCATTTTTATTAAAGTCCATTCCATTTTACAACAGTGTATTAAAAGTCAAAACATAATTATCATAAATGTTAAAAGTTTTTGTTGTTGTTTATGCTGTAATAACGTTTTTGTGATTTAAATTAAAATTGAGAAACAGGTCAGAATGCACAAAAAAATGGATAAACTGCCTTTGTTAAGTATGTTCTGATAAAGATGACATTTAAGGAAACTGTTTCTTGTCACACAGCCTGTCTTGACTTTATTAAACAATACACAAATAATGTTTTGCTGGTTATCATATTGCTATAGTTCAATGATACATTAGAAGCATAGATCAAATGGTCAGGGAAAGATCTGGAAAAGTAAGAGAATTCCATTTGAAACAAGGTGTGGGAACCATGCACCAGGAAAAAAAAAATCAAACAGTTAAGCCACTGATATCACCACAACAGTCAAGACCACATAATTCAATGGAAATTATCCCCCCTCCCTCCAAAAAAAGGTTTTCTAACATTGAATCTGGACTAGACCATTTACAGTTTTTGTAGTAATAATAGTGATCAGTCTTTCATAATTTAATTGTAGAAATAGTGTTATCATACTGTACTTTATCAGTAATTGCATATAATATGTAATTGACAGGGTTTTAAAACCAGACAAAATTTTATTTAGATAAATTAGCATATGAAAGAGGTTGTAATTCTGTTAGTTAGCAGGTTTTTCTTATGAGTAATTGTAGGTTATTTATTACTTTATACAACATAAACACAGTTTTGTGTACTATGTTAGACGTTTTTTATATTCTAGATAAATTAGCATATGAAAGAGGTTGTAATTCTGTTAGTTAGCAGGTTTTTCTTATGAGTAATTGTAAGTTATTTATTACTTTATACAACATAAACACAGTTTTGTGTACTATGTTAGACATTTTTTACATGAATATTCTTTAGGTATTTAACACAATAGATTTTATTAATATCTACATCTGTTAACATGGTTGACATTAAGAACATTAGACCTTATTAATATTTACTCTGCTTTTAACATTATGAGAATTGATATACTTCTGTATGTCAGTATTTTATGATGAGGGGTTAGTGATATATCAGATGCTGCTATGAAATATACAAATTTTAAATACCATCTTACTGTTAGAAGAAAGTAATTTTTGTATTAACACATTAATCATTTTTCACCAGGGTATCTCCGAGTAAGACTGTAAATAAAATATATTGTTCTAAAATGAAATAAATAAAACATCTCAGATGTATAGAATATCTCTTTCAAGCTGTTTGATTTTCAGTACCCAAATATGATAGGTCTGTATTATTAACATCTTGGCAAAAGTAGGATCTGTTTTAGCAATTATTTTTACAATACTATTGTCATTTTTCTTCAGCATTGAAACTAGAGTGTAGGATAATGTATTTATGTTATGATAAACCTTTCACTCTGTGTTTATAATGATATTTTTTTTTTTTTTACATAAGGCTTAAGGAGAACATTCATAAGCTATATCTGTTTATGTAAGTAACGTAACAGATTTCTTGATTTGTGTCAAAGAAGTAATTGTTGCTTCTCCACCCACAGTTATCCATTCAGGGAGGACATGCAGGGAGCAACAAGTTACATGAGAACAAGATGTCCTTCGTGGTGTGATAGGGTCCTTCTAAACCGATCAGCACAGGCATTAATTCACAATGTATGTATAAAATATTTTGTATATCCTAGCCAATTCATGCTTTGAAAGTGCTGTTATTAGAAGTAGTTATTCTAAATTACCAGACACACAAAACATTTGCAGTCAAATTAGTATCTTTATTGCAACAGTTCTTCTTTAAATAAGGGATTTCTAGAATAATGCAATAAGACACCAAAATATACAAATCCACTTGTCTTAGGCCTAACATTAGTTAAGTCTTTATTAAGTACAATCTATATATTTGATATTTAAAAAGAGATAAATTAACACTAATTTGTGTAAATTTTTTGCTTTAGTTTAGTTAGGGCAAAACTTTACCATACTTGATACTATCAATAAACAAACTTATAATGTTATTATACAGCCTAAAGTTAGATCTTTTTAAAAATTTTGATAAGCTTTGAACATGTTGTTATATAAAATGTCTACTAAAGTGTATCTACATCAACCTTTTTTTGTTCACATTTGTTGAAATGAAGTGCATGCACGTACAAAAACTGTGTATTATTATAATATATATGAAGCAAACTAGGAAGTACTTCTAGACACAGTAATGTGACAAAGGAGTTTACTAGTCAGTTTTAATTTGCAACATCAAAAGAGTACTACTTCTGTGTCTTGTCATTATGAAAGCAAATTAAACAACAGTTTTAAACAAGCAAATTGAATATATTCTGGTAGTTACAGTAAAACGGACTTGTACGATGTTTAGTGTAGCATTACATAGACCAAGTACAATGAAATATACAGCAATGAAACTGTCTAGAAAGAAGTAGAATAAATTAACAAAAAAGTATCAAATTTTACAATTATAAATAATTCAAGTCCATTATCAGCATTTAGCACATTTCATAGAAATTTTTTTTTCATACTTTGGTAGAAATATTTAGGAAATGAACTTGTTTATTGGAGATCTTATAAAGACATTTTAAAATTAAGTTGTAGGTATTATTAGAAAAAAGGTTTTTGCCAAACACCTTTATGTAAACATTGGTGAGCTTGTTGGATGTTATGCTAAATTAAATGTTGTTCTTGGTTGTTGTTAAGAGTTTTTATGTAAAAAACAAACAAACACTGGATGTTCTCCATGGTTGTTAGCTATTATTTTGATTTAGATGTCCTTCTTGGTAGTTACTTATGGATGTTCATTGTGGTTGTTGTGAGCTGTTACATAAACTTGGGTGTTCTTGATAAAAAACAATTGGGTGCTCATTGTAAATCATAGTAATTGCTAATTGATATGAAGACTGATATTTTTATTAGTAAACACCATTTGATATTCATCATGTTTTTTGTTAATTGTTATGTAGACTTTAGATGTTCTTAGTGAAAACTGTTGAATGTTCCCTATGATTATTATTATTTGTTATGAAGACTTAGGGGTTTTTATTGGTTAAAACATTCATTGTTCATCAGGGTTGTTGTTAGCTGTTATATAGACTTAGATGTTTTTAATAAATACTGTTGAATGTTCACCATGATTATTATTATTTTTTATGAAAGACTTGGGTATTTTTATTGGTAAAAAACACTCAATGTTCATCAGGGTTGTTGTTAATTGCTATGTAGACTTAGATGGTCTTGTTAAGTACTGCTGGATGTTCATCATGGTTGTTGTTAGTAGACTTGGATTGGGATAGTAACAATTATTGGATGTTCATTGTGATTGTTGTTAGTTGTTATGTAAACTTAGGTGTTATTCCTGGTAAAACTATTGGATATTTGTTGTGGTTGTTTTTAGATATTACATAGGCTTGGGTGTTCTTGGTTGTTGGTAGTTGTGTTTTATAAATGTTGTTAGATTATTGTATTGGTTGTTGTGTTTTTATTTGAACATTGTTAAATGTTATTTCTCCATATGAAGACCTAAAAATCCAGAGTCAGGTAGTCTGAAGTTTAACATTTGTCTACATATATTAAAATGATTTTTAGGTCTTGAAGATTCAGAAATGCCATCTTAACAGTCTGAGTTGTGATATGACATTTAAAAATTTCACTATAAAAGTCAATTCAAGGATTTTTGAATAGTCCTTAATCAAACAGTCATGACACTGGTTATAGGGATAAAACATGGCCTGCAAAACATTTTCAAATGTAGAGCCACTTCCAAATGACCTTTGGTTATTGCCTTGCAAACCATGATACATATAATAACTTTTATATTTTATCCTATATCCTCCTTAATATTCACTTGTAAACCATGACCTTTGCAAGCCAATGTAAAATCAGTATAGATTCATTGTATGTTTCTTCTGCCTTTGATACATGATAGCTAAATAGGTTAAATTTTGGTATCATACACATAGTTTTCAAATATTTGGTTGCCATGGCATTATGTGACATATAATACCCAAATCTAAGTCTTTATATTCTAAAGTTTGCTGATGAGTGATATAATGTTTTGATAAAGTTAAATAAGCAATGGGTATGGATAATAGAGTGGGACAAGCCATGAAAATTTGTTGCCATGGGGATCATTATGATAATCTGATCTGTTACCATGGGAAAACAGTCAGCAAGCATGTTATAAAAATCCTTTAGACATGGTTCTTATGGGTCAGGAAAACTTGGAAAAGTCAGTGAATTTTATATGATTCAGTGATAATTTATTTTTTTTGCCATCTGTGTCCTAAAAGTAACATAGCTCGGTCACAGAGGATCATTTTACTAAATTTCGATAAGGTACTTACCTCCTCTCACAAGATTAGGTACTCTCGTTCAGTGCTGCCTTCTATGTGCGAACATTTTCTTTATGCATGCCACTAGCTTTGTGCCCTCTCGTGTTGGAATTAGTACATTCTAATGCGTCTCTCATGCAAGTCATCATGCTCATCTATTAACCATGAGTAGCATAGTATGCTCAACACTCCTCTATCGAACTTTCACTTCTCGTTTGGCAGCTTTCAAGTACAGACGTTTTCTTTTGTGCTTTGCACTTCCTGTGTGCTGCATTTTTAATTTTCATTTGAAGTCGTACTATTTTTTTTTTCTTTTTGTTATACATTACCACATTCACTGAGGTCTTCCTTAGTTTTCACAGATTTTGTAACTCGGGTTTCTGATGTTTGGTTTTTTCCCCTATTTCTTATTCCCCTCCTCCTTCTTTGTTGCTTGACCATTTTTCTCAATCATTTTTGGTATTTCTTTCCTCTCATGATATTTGGGACCATGCTGATCACTTTCTCTCCAAGTTAGATGGAGGGAGATCAGTATGTTGCCCCCCCCCCCAAGAGCCTCTAATCAGTACACCCTTGCCTACCAGCGGGCAGAATATCCGGTTTTGGATCACCAGTTGTTGGGTTCCTTTTTACCTCTTTTGGGGGGCAGCTGCTGAATCTAATGTTAGTCTCACACACGCCCAACATTCTCGCCTTCATCATAACCTTACTTCCCTTCTCCAGTATCTGTCCTCTATACATCTCCTCTCAGAGGCTTTATACAGAACTTTTATGTTTGAGCTTGGCATGTTTGCTGCAAGTTTCCTAAGATAATAATAGTTCTCTTTGCCATACAGCGACAAAGATTGCTTCTCTTCCTTGTTTTGTTAGGACTGGAGATGACTTGGCAACAATGGAAATATTTGAAGTGGATCTACATCTGGAAGTGTTCCTCAGACAATGATCTACCAATATACTAAGTTTAATGCTTTTGTGACTAAGGCATAATCACATGCTATATTGAAAAGATAACTTTTGTTTTAAGCATGATTTTGTTGAATAAAACATGTCATATCTCATCCTGCTATCACATTTAAGAATGTCTGAATATGACTATTCTGAATCCTCAGAGCCTAAGAACCATTTTGACATATAAAGAAGATTATGACACTTATGTAATACAACATTGTTTATTGACAAAAAGGGGACATGGATAAACGTTTCGGAACTCTATCAGATTCCATCTTCAGTATCTTGTATTTTGTCAATAAACAATGTTGTATATCATAAGTGTCGTAATCTTGTTTATAATCAAACTTCGTTTTCCTTCGACCACATCGATTGCTAACATTTTGACATATGTATGCAAATATTATATTGCAATCTAGGGCCCTTTGAGGTCTTCAATTGCAGTAGTATCTTAGGGCTATTTTCTGTAGACATTGTTAGTTTTTTTTTTGTTAAATTATTAATGTAATATTTTTTTGCCTTTGTAGAAAGTTCTACAGTGTTACATTGGATGATGATCATTTAATTTATAGAATTTGTTCACAACTTTTTGAATCTGTATTATACAAATATTTTTGGCATTAACATTAAATAGATTTAAATGATTGTGTAAATCAGTGAAAAACAGCAGATATATAATTATTTTAGCATTATAATTAGATTTTAAATTTGTTTTTAGCCTGTAGGAGATGATAAACGAAGTCCAGTGACATACCAGTTAATAGGGACCAATGTCTCAATGGGAGATCATAAGGTATGCTTGTAGTTTTGTAAAGAATTACTTAATAGTTTTCTGTGAGACAAGTTTATATGTACAAACCACTTTTTATACCTTAGAATAATCAAAACTACTTTCAGATAACAATGAAAGTGCCCAACTGTTGTCTTGAGATAAATATATATATATATATATATATAGATGTGTGATAATAACAAGTTTGTGCTTTTGATAAGAGAAACAAAAAAATTATACTAATTATAATTTTTTTATTGCAAACAACTGGGTGATAACACTCAAATGATAGTGGAGATACTTATTATTTTCAGTTATTCACACAAATAATTAATTAAGAGGTAGGACCTATGTGCTTAAAACCATCAACATCTTGGATCCAACTGTTCATTCATTGTCCCTAGCCAGTTGTCTTAATATCAGTAAAATAAGATCCTACATCTGCCATTTATTAAAAGTAATTATAGTGCCCTACATATAATCGTAATAAATAAACAACAACCTCCACCCATTTTAAGTTGCTAAGAGCTATATAACTTGCCATTATAGCTTTTTTTACACCCAACTCTCCACTTTGTGTGTGTTGATGTATGTTATTCTAGATATGGTTCTGAACTGTAACAACTTTTTGTTCCTCACAGATAATTCTTTGAAAGAATGTAACCCTTTCAGATAAATATTTAGAAGAGCTCTTTGTTGATTCTTCATCAGGAATGAACTCTTGCGTTTTATGTTATTATTAAAAATAATACAATTTTTAAGTTGAAGTTAGCAAATTTCAGTTTAGACGGCATAAAGCATTGATAGTATATGCATGGTGTAAAGATCTTAAGTTCTCTATCTATTAATCACATGCAATGAAAATTGTTGTATAAAACAAAAACTTGGAGGTATGTAATTGTGCGTTATGAGATTTATGAATTTGACATTTATTGTAAACTTGATACATCACTGTGAAAAGTGAAACATTTGGTGGATTTCCAAGATTCTAATCTGGTATGCTTTACAAATAAGTGTACTATAAAAAAAAAAGTTATATTTTTGTACTCATAAGAACCTATGAGCAAAAGTAAGAAAGAAGATAATATGTCAACCACACTTTATCCAATGCTGAAGAGGCCCTCATGTAATACCAGGGCTCATCAGGCTGGTTGGGATATAACAGACATAGTAATGGTAAAGACGCTATTCATATTGTAAATTACCTGAACAGCAACTGTTTTGGTGTGCACTCGATTCAGTTCATGAACTGTCAATTTTATTTAAGTTATTGCACACCAGAGTTAGGTTGGTGGTTTTTATTGAGATAACATTTATTTATTTTACTTTAATTAACTTTACTCATTGTTTAAAAAAAACTGGTGAACTAGTAAGCTAGTCTTTGATTCCAGAGTGGGTTAAGTAACCACAATGTCAACAGGAAATGTCTACAGTAGTAATTATAAGAACTTATGAGTGAAAGTAAAGAAGAATGTGATATGTCAATCACTCTATATCTGCTATATCCAGTGCCGAAGAGGTCTTTTGTCCAGTACCAGTTGGATATGACATTCATAGTTAAAAATGCAAATGAAAGGGTATAAAATATATCATTAATAATTTTAACAAACTATACTTAATAAAGCCAAGTACATTATAATTTCAATTATGAGTGGAGTTCTTCATAGCTATGTCATGGTCAGGTTAAATAGCATGACCAAACTTTAGTCTGTAATAAGCTCTGTAATTGTTATTGATAAATCTGCAGGACTTCATAATTGTTTCTGGAAGAATCCATAAAATATCCTGATTATTAGTTTAATGTTTCAAAAGGGAGTTAGAGAGAGTAAAAAAAATAATTACAAAACTGTACCTGTAAGCCATTTTAGATATGTAACCACAAAGATAACCCTGTGATATCTTTCTTAATGTGATTATGTCTTTTTTTGGTAACACTATTTGAGTCATACAATACAGACACCAACAATATGTCTAGACTTTAGAGATTTGTATTTATCAAAGTTAATATTGTTTAGATCAACTGCAAGTTTTTTAATATAGACTTGTTACAGAATTAGTTTTTCACTGTTTAGAAGATTGGATTCTTTTGAGAAAGATCTTTTTCGTATTGTTTATGCCTGAAATATGTGAAAATGTAAGTGGTATGACTGGATAAGTAATGACTTTCTTTAATAGATTTTAAAAACAAGCATCTTGTTTACCAGTGCTTAAGCTTTCTAAGTACAGTAGAGCTTCATTATAATGTGGTAGTCAGGATCCATATTATGGGGTCACATTATAAGTGAGGTGTGTCATAGCGATGTTTTATCAAACTGCCACATAAGGTAGGTCCTTGATATGTTCATTCAACCTACAACTTGCCAGAAACTGTGAATAAACGACACAAAAAAATGAGACAGCTTATTCAGATTTAAATGAATATGAAATGTTATTAATAAAACGTGAGAGTATTAAATTTGCACAGGCACATGAATTATTTCAGATATCGTTACAGATCATAAGCGACATGAAGACGATGATAGTTCATGTGAGCTGGTAGAGTTACACCAGAAAAGAACAGTGAGGTATAAAACCAGCTAGTATGTTTTCTTTGGTTTTCATTGCTAGTGTCTTGTCTGGAAGCATCTTGTAGCATAAGGCTGTTTCGACCAGTTATAAATTATTTCTTTGGAGTAGCCACCATCTATAATTATTTTCTTCAGGTCCTGGGGGTTAGGCTTCAGCAGTAACAGTGTCAGCAGTTCTCTGTTCTCCCTGGATGGTGGTTTTTAAAGAGCATTAGCTACTCTGTTGGCTTTAAATTTTTCATTATTATCAAGATGCTGTGCAAACTTCTTGGATTGTGCTTGAAGAACTGGTCCACATATATTGGTATGCCTTCTGCTAACTGTTAAGCAAACCATATGAAGACTGCTTTGTCGAGTTGCATGTTGTTGGATAATTGGGATTTCTTTCTTTGTCGTCCATCTCTGTGGAAACTTTGTGAAGTTTGTTTTCTTTTAACCAGCCACGCAGTTGTTGACTCAGCAATGCTATTTTTTGTTGTTGAGAGAGATCTCTTGGTAGTCCCTTCCTTTGTCTCATCTATGATGGCAAGCCTTTTGGAGATTACAGATTATTTTCTATTCTTGGAATTGACATTAGCAGCAGGTGTGATAATAGCATTGTTGAAATTGTACAGATACTGATCTATTCTTGGAATTGACATTAGTAGCAGGTGTGATAATAGCATTGTTGAAATTGTACAGATACTGATGCTTTGCAAACAAAAACAAAAACTCTTGGTAGGAATTTAGATTTAAAAAATCTTTCAAGCCTCAGAAAAGATTTTGGGACCTGAAAGACAACCTAGGATGGTCAGAAACTTGCAAGATTAACAATCCTTTTAAGGGGGGCTGGGATAAAATAATCCTATGCAGGGGGGAAACCAGAGTGTATGGAGAAAACCTACTTTTATGGATCATGCACTGAATAATCTACGTGACTCATGCCTGAGAAGTGGATCTGAAAAGGAAATGATTTATTAAGACAATTATGCTAAACACTGTTAATATAATTGAGTGGAGAAACGTATGTTTGCCATGCAGAAAGTGTGGCTACTAGGATGGGAAAGGTGCTTGTTTGGCTATTTTTATTTTGGGCTAGAGTGTTAACATGATCCAGAATGAGAGGTAGGCCAGTGAGGTTGTTGACATAAATTTGTAACGTGTATTTTGAGAGATGGAATGCTGTTTTGGCAGTGGTGAGCTATTACTGCTTGATTGTTTTTGTTTTATGTGTCAGGCATATTACATGTAATGGGGCATCCATATTGATATGGAGGTCTGATGTAGTCTTTCTAAATTTTAATGATTGAGTGGCTGTTACACCCTTTGGTCATACCCTGGATTCAGCATAGAAATGCCAGTCTAGTGCATTGTTATAATGATTGGTCCATAATAAGCGTGAGTTTACATTGTTCCTAAAAATTTGGCTGCTGTTTTAAAGACGATGGAGGTGTTGTATAATAAAAGTTTGATTTGTCTAATGTTTTTGTTTTGTCTTCCTTTTTTTTCTGTGAAATGCTACTGCCCGTGCCTTGATTGGATTGAGAAGTACTCTCCATTTGTTACACCATTTAATTAATTCATTTAATGTCTCGGACTCTGGACGTGGCAGCGAGAGGATCAAGTGATGTGCTCCAAATAGCAATGCCATTGGCATACTGAGAGATGAGAGTATATATTAGCTGCGGGAATGCTATGTCATTTACGAATAGAATGTCAGTTAGAATATAACCAAATTTCATTGGATAACCTGCTTAATTAATTAAAATAGGGAAAATTCATTGGTCAGTTACTAAGTTATCGTAACTGAGTGGATACTTACAAATCTCAATTAAACACTCAATTCACATTGATTAATTGATTTTAGCTAGGCCTGGAATTTTGTGTACATGAGTGATCTGTGTTATAGTATAATACTGAGACCCACTCAATAGTGAGTTATATTATAATGAGGCTCCACTGTATCATTATAGATAATTATTGCAACTTAATTTTACTTAAAAAATTTGAAATGATTGTTTCTCTTTTTATTTTCATATTAATCAAGTTACTATAAATATAGATATTAGCTTTGAAACTGCTGAATTAGAAGCTGATTGAGCTAATCATTTATAAAATATATTAATTCTATTTTAACTTTGTTTGACTTATTTAAGTTACTTCAGGACCATATGATCAATACTGATTTATCCAAGATACTATACTGTTAAAGTGGAAGTCTCTTCTTTCATATAAAAAAATACTGAAAAATTGGTTACAGTGTTACATACCTAACTTAAAAAGTTAACTAGTATCATGACATCATTGTAAAAATGAAACATTGTAGCTTCATAATGATACTATATTATTTGAAAAGGCTCTGGTTTTATTCTTATTCATTTCTTAATGGTTTTTAAATGTTGTAAGATAATATTATAACTCAAAAAATTTTATTTTACAAAATAAAATGATGATGTTCTAATTTTTATGTTGTCTGATTTTAAATTTAGGTTTTGTGAAGAATATAAAAAATATTAGGTTTTTTCCTTTGGCTATGTACTTGTTTATCTAATAGATAAAATTAGTTACGAGTATTCATTTCCCTTGGTTGGTTACAAAGCATTTTGACTGCATGGTCATAGATACAAAACTTAAGGCCCTAACATTGTTGTAAATTTACTTATAAACGTATGATACAACACTGAACTGTCGGGAATAACAAGTATGGAAAAGTGTACACAGTATTATAATAAGTGAACAAGTCTGTTGTGTTACCTTTATGATACATTTTCATGTTCAAAGTTTATTTAATTATCAATTTACTTGATTTACATAAGATCAGTGTGGAGGTACTGCATATTTTAAAAACAAACATAATAGTAACAACCTGGTGGTATTTGCCAAGTAGGAAATGTCCAGTTTATCTTTACAAAAAATTTTCCCGACTTATTTTTTAACAAAATTATGTTTTTTCAAAAAATCTGCAAATGGCATTCTTCAAAGGAGGTGTATGATATATAACCAAGGGTAGTTTGAAAATGTAATCGATTAGCAATTAACACTAATCGCCCAACTCTGTTTCTTTTAATGATTTAATTTTGATAAGTTATTAATTGGCTTAAGTATTACATATGTTGGGAAAACTATTTGATAAAATAAAAAATTAAAGCAATTTTTCTTAAAATGAAGAGATCTTAGAATTGTGTTAGTATGATTATGAGTATCTCATTTGTTCACAAAAAAAATTTACAATTTTGTAGCATGATTTGCATGATCTTGAATATTTCAATTAAAGAGCTTAAGTAACCAATGTGGAACAGAATGGGTATGAATAATGTCAATAAGATACACACACACTTCTTAGGGCATCTGAAGACTTAAGTACTGAGTACACTTTACATTCATTTGTTATTGCATGAAGCAGCTATTTATAAAAGGATAGATTTTTTTTTTTTATGGGGTTAGACAAATGTGTATAATAAACAATGTCTTGTCCATAATGTAGCTTGTAACTAATGTTACTCTTGTTAGTTTAATTAACTGATTTTTTTTTTCTTTTTTGAATTGTTTCTCACGTATTTCTGATATTTCAAATATGTTGAATTTATTTTTGTTCTGTTTGTGATGCTTCTTGCATGCAGCCTGTCTTTTTATTCTTTGGACTTGTGATAAATTCAAGGTACTTTTTAATGTTTTCTTTTTATCTTAGCTTGTTTTGAAGTTTAATCAGTACACTACATAACACATCCAGTTATATATATATATATATATAAATTTAATAAAACATGTGTTCATATGTGTGTGTAATATACTTGCACAGAAATTACTTATGTATGTATAATGTTTTGTTCATGAAACAACGTAACTCTTCAGGTAACAGATGTTTGCACATAGTTTTCCTATGATTGAGTGAGTGTAAAAATCTGATATTAGTAGATTTCATTAGATACTGTGTAAAGAGATTTAGATTCATTCAAAATATTAATTTATAAGTTAAAATGTTCTAGAATTGTATGTAAAGTATAATTGAATCTTTGTATTATTAAACATGTTCTCACACTGTATATATATTAACTGGTGAACATTAACTACTGAATTAGATTAGAATAGTTAACTGTGAAATTACTTCAAAACTTGCTGTAACCTATCTTCAATTATCATGGGTTTTTTTTGTTCAGATAATAACATTATTTATTTGTTAGCATAGTTTAATATAAATTTTAAATTGGTGTTTGGTAATTATTTTTTCTCTTCTTTAATATCTCTTTTTTTTTATATATGTAGCCAGTGCTGTTGTGGTTTCAACTGCAGCCTTCCCCAGGTAGGAATCTTCTAAAAACTGTCCCTGTTGATGATGATGTAGAGTTCCTAAGTGAAAAGTTGATGGTTATTCGTAGAGCTCAGTCAAATCCACCTTTGTCACACAGACATTTTCCCACCAAAAATATAACATGTAGAAGTACTAGCTTCACCGGAGAGGAGTTTAAGAGGCTTGAAATAATAGAGAGAACTGAAGAAACAATAAAATTGTTTAGTGAATTAAGAGGGAATTGGGAGGAAAAATCTACCAACTCTAATTTGAGTAGGCAGTCTAGTCGTTTAAGAAGTCACCATTCTTCCTCGTCTGAGGAATGGTACTTCGATACTACCACATATGAAACGGTTTCAAAACCATTCAGTGAAACACATCCTAGTGTTTCTTTGAGAGATGTTGAATCAAATCAAGATACACATTTAACAAAAAATGAACCTTATATCCCACCCTCACCTGACACATCACTCACAGGACATAACTTGACTAATGGGAAGTCTGAGAGTCAAATGCAGAACCTGCCTGTCAGTTCACTTGAACTAGAACAAAACCAGCTTGGAGAACAAACCAGAGAACAGACTGATTGGGAGCCGTCTCTTACAGAATCTCATAGGAAACTGTGTCCTGCTCTTTGTGTTCTTCTGTAGACACCAACTTTTGCATGAATGCATGATGTAAGTTATATTTGCATGTTGGATTTTCTTTATTTTATTTTTTTATTTTATTTTATTTTGAAAAGAGACTTGAATAAGATTGAACTAACAGTAGGCAAAGAAAATGGCAATATAAAGTGTTTGGTATTTTCCATAGTTAAAATAGGAACTGACAGAATTCAGATTAAAATAGCAGTGTAAAATGTTCTGTTTGATATTTTCAGTAGTTGAAATAGGAACTGACAGAGTTCAGATTAATATGTATATATATGTATAGTACTATTTAAAATTAACTGTACTCAGCTTGCCCTAGGTCAGCAGATATTCAGACTGATGTCTGTATTGTTTTTCCATATTCTACTATGTGTCTATTTATCTTTACAGAAAGAAACAGCACATACTGTGTTTCATTTAATTCATCATTAAATCTAGGTTTGTAGGTTTGGAGCTGCTGTAAAGTTTTTGGTATAAGTGGCAAAACTACGTCATCGTGGATCCCAATGCAAAGTACTCGGGTGGGCCCCCATCATATAATGCAAAATTAATTACAATGATATACATACCAATAATGTTACTAATTATTTCAAAAATGTCTAAACAACCATAAAACATGATGGTCTTGAAGCTTTTTCTGGATCTGAAAGTCTTTTTTTTTTTTTTTTCTACAGTTTATCGAAGTGTTTTTTCACCTTTTTTATGCACTTGTGCAGAAATTTGGACTCCCTTTTCATCGAAATTTCTTCATTTGTTCTTTTATTTGCATGAAGTTTTCTCTTACTTGCACTAAGTTGAGTCAGTTGAGTGCTTTAGTAATTTAACTACTGTGTCCAACAACATATTTTGACTTTGCAGTGACTTAGAAATTACGTTAGTTATTTCTAATAATTTTTTTTAGAACAATTAGGAAAATAAACTCTAACTTTTCTATTTGCTTCATTAGACCAGACACTTCAACTCGCTTGTTGTGGTTTTTACTAAGGAGAATTATTTTTGAAAGCCCTTTCACAATGTCTGGAATCATAATGCAACCAACTGAATCATGACTAGAGGACCATAAACTCCAACAAAATCTTTTAAGTGTTACTTTCTCAATAACGTCGGAGACAGAAGCCAGTTCTTTTATACACTGTTTTTTACTAAGACCGTAGAAATTTATAAAAATGTTCAACAGTATCATAAAAGTTTTTAATTTCAGAGATATTTTGAACACAATCAATGAGAGCAAGATTTAGATTATGGGCAGCACAATGAACATATTCAGTATTTGGTTCTATTTTATCTTGGACTCCTGAATATGTGCCACTCATATTTGCTGCACCGTCATACCCTTGACCATGACATTTATTCACATTGAATCCATTTTCTTCAATTGCATTAACTATTTCATTTTCTAATTCAATGATAGTTTGTTCAAAAACTTGGCAAAATCCAGTAAACGATTCCTTGATTTCAAAGTCCTAAAAAGTCCATCTGAGCTAGTGTTTGTTTTGACATATGGATTTGTCTCATTTCATCGGCTTTTGAAATGTTTTGTGTTTTATCTATGATTATTGCAAAAAAAAAAAAAACAGTGTTGCTTTTATGTCATCAGTAATTTCTCTTTCAATTTGTTTTTGGAATTTTCATGATAATCCTGTATTTTAGGACTAGGATATCTGACTTGTTCTTTTTTCTTTTCAAGCGACTGCAAGGACAGGATCATATTTTGCTAACAGTTGAATAATAAAAAAGAAAATGACCACTATCAAGTTTATCAATGCTTTCCCTGTGTCCTCTAAAGGGCAAATTGCAAGAGCTGGCCTTAACCCTATTGTCATGGGCAATCCTTTACTGTGCATGTCATGAGGTTTTAGTGACTTACCCTCAAAATTTTATTAATCTACTTTTTGTTTATGTTATACCAATTAGTATAGTATAAAATCTTAACTAATAATTCATATTTTAATAGTACATAAGTTTTAAGTTCTTAATTTTATAAGGCAATATTTGAAAAAAATCCTGAATTTCCCTTAGTGTGACACATGTGACATATTTTCTCTAGGCATCTAAAGTGGTTTATCACTTTCAGGCTCTCCTCTTCAGACTTGCCTCGGCACCTTATGTATTTTGCTATATTTTTCTCAACATCTCCATGATCTGGGACTGTAATTTCATTATTACATGGACGACTGGCTTCTTCAGGCTCATTCCAAACAGGAATTGGCCAATCATACTCGGCAGCTTGGGTAGACTTGTTAATCAAACTGGAGAAGTCCTTCCTCAGACCTACTCAATATCTTGTCCATTTGGGGGTCTTTTTCAATACTTATATCAATCAGTCCCAGCCTTCTCATTTACAACTTCGTTCAATGGAACTGTTGGTTCACAATGCTCTCTCTGCTTAGTCACTTACTGCTCACGAGGTTCCATCACTTTTGGGGATATGGTCATCATTAACATCACTGGTCCTCCTCAGTCGTGCCCATATAAGATCCCTTCAGTGGGTGCTTCATGATCAATGGAACCTTGCTCGGGATCCTCTTTCACTCCCATTATCCTTCCTTCTTCCCTGCTTTGGTGGTTGGACAAAGCCCATACGTCAGTGGGCATGCCACTTCCTCCCCTGCGTTCAGCTCTACATCTTTTCATGAATGCATCCCTTCAGGAATGGGGGCATGAGTCAATCACCAGGAGGCTTCAGGGCATTGGTCTGCAGATCAAATTGCTTTGCATATCAATGTTCTCAAACTTCTAGTCATGTGTTGTGCATTGCCTCACTTTCTTCTTTCTCTCCTGACATTGTCTGGTGATGGATAATTTAGACAATTATATGGTGGTGGCACTTATCAACCACCAAGGGGACACCTCATCCAGAGATCTGTTTTTTGGATGTTGGATCTCTTATACTGGGCCCATACACATCACATTCATTTTATTGCATGTCATGTGCCAGGTGCTTTCAATCTGGTTGTACATTCTCTTTTGCACCTGCTGACCGAATGTATCCCACAGAGTGGTCATTAGATCCCTATGTGGATGCCTTTGCTATGGGCCTCATCAACAAGTTATCTCTCCTTTGGTCACCTGTACCTCATCCCCATGCTCTGGTAATCTATGCCTTCAGCCAGGATTGGTCATACAAATATCTTTATGTGTACCCAAACATCTGATTACTTCATTGGGTGATATCTCTCATCCATTTCTTGTTGGGTCTCCCTGATTGCTCCTTATTGGCCAGCTTAGCCTTGGTTTCCACTGTTACAATGACTGCTGTCACTCTTTCACTTTCTCCCTACCATCTTTATCAATCTTGGTCACATATCCTATATCCCACCCTTCATGCTCTGCATCTTCACGCCTGGCTTTTGTCTGCCCCTTGGCGAGAAGATCTAGTTTCACATGTCGAGTTGCTTCCTTGTAAGCTGGTTCCATCTTCCATGGAGGTGTACCAATGCAAATGGAAAATATTCCATCATTGATCTACATCTAGGAGGTTTCCTGCTGACTGGCATACTGTGGCTTGTGTAGCAAAATTTCTCACCTGGTTCTTTGACTGTGGGCCTTCAGTCTCACTTTTGGGATATTGGGTGGCCTTATCTCATACCTTTCATTTTCCCAATACCATAGAGTTTTTACTTCCCCTGTCCTTACCATGCTCGTGCATTCCTTCCAGATATGTTGCCCTCCCAGGTGACCTACCCTTCCAGATTGAGATCTTAATGTGGTCCTCCATTCCTTACCTCCATTTAAACCACTTTCCTCGTGTTCCATGTTTCATCTTTCCCTTAAAACATATTTCCTTTTTCTTTTAGACTGTGGACGTCGACGGTCTGATTTGTTTGCCATTGACATTTCATGTACCTTTTATCACCTTACCTGTCTTTTCCTTTTTCCCTAGGACTTTGGCAGCTCAGGAGGATGATTCCTTCCTTTCTCCTATTTCGCTATAGAGATAGGCTTCTATGCCCAATCAGGGCTCTTTGTTGTTATATTGCCCATACTGCTTCCTTCCGGGGTACATGTTCCTGACTCTTTATCCTATGGCAATCCTCCTTCCTTTGTGATCTTTCACCTTCTACCTCTACCAGTTGGATCCATCTCTTGGTTTGATTGGCCTATTTCTCCATACCTTAATCCTCCCAGAATTTATTCCAGGTATCCTCCCATCAGATCCAACACCTCACTTTTCCCTTGCTTCTCGTCTTCATCATCCAATGAAAGAAATTCTCCAATACAGCATGTGGACCACACCCAGTACATTCATCTCACACTATCTCCATCAAATCGCAGTTTCCTCTTCATCTGGGTTTTGTCTGTGGCTGTTCTTCAAACTTCGGTGCAACTCTTAACTGATAAGTTTTATTCATACTTTCCTAT